CATTTTTGGGGCTAATAAAAAAACGATTCTTTTTTTTTCTTCGTTCTCACTCTAGTATAACCCTCTTGATCGTGCGTCCCCCTCTCCAATTCCCTTCATCTCCAATCCCTTATTCCCCTCTCATATGATCTTTAGTTCCCCCTCTCCTACCTCTACCACTCACTCCCTCGTCTGCGTATCGCAAGACAAATACCAGCGGTGATCACCTATATAATGTTGTCGGGAATCCCTAATTTCACCTCTTTTCTGTCTATGAGCCAATAACAGCCTCCAAACGCATCACGACTGCCTCACAATCACCGATAAGTACCATAATCACCCAACATTAGCAAAGATCCTTGTGTTGTTGAAGCCTTAAGAGCAAGCACCACAAATGTCGTGCCTCTAGTGGTTCACACCCAACATTAGCAAGAGAATAAGAATGGAGAGATATGAGATGGGAGCTTAGAATTCGGCTATCTCTTCAAAGGAATGAGTGGCCGAAATCCCAAGGGGTAAAGGTCCTTTTATATTGCAACAATGATGCCCTGGATAACCAATATCTGAATATAATAATAATATTTCAAATTTGGTAATTATCAAACTCTATATTTATCCACATTAGATATTCTAGAAACCCTATAATATCTTACAAAAACCGTCCATTCCTTCCCTAGTTGTGTTCAACTATTAAACAATTGCACTTTAGACCCTACACTTTTAATTAAATATTTTAATCCCAATTAATTTCAATTAATTTCTAATTAAATATTACTATTTCTAATTAATACATTATTATCTTAATATATTAAAAAAAAATTAGTTTCTATTTATTAATCAAATAATAAATCAACATATTTCTCTAACAGTCATCATGTTCAGTTGCTAGTTTTGAGGGCAATCCAAAAGGACTATATTACTATCAATTTAAGTATATATCAATTATAGTTATGAGCTTAGATTCCTAATCCAACAGTAACTTGGAGTAATTATGTCATCAAACTAATTTAGCAATTTTATATTAGAAGGAAAGTTCATATTAATGAAGCTGATATCCATTTATTATGACATTTATTAAAATTATTAAATATCAATATTATATGAGATTTAATAAAATCGAAAAAAACAATAAATGTCATTTGAAAAAAATTAATTTAAAATAAAAACAAAATGACATGTGAAAAAAATATATAAGAATATGACATGTGACAAAGAAAATCTTTATTTATTAGAGTAGAAGATCATTTTATCAAATGTCAACTTTTCATTGAATTTGACCGATATCATTTTCTATAAATTTTAAAATTATTTTTTTCACTTGTTATTTTTGTGTATTTTTGCTTTTTATTCAAATGTCACATATTAAATGACATCTCATATTAATTAATTCTATTAATATATTAATTAATGTAGATAGTTTTTGAAATTATTGAAAAATCTTGATATATATATATATATATATATATATATATATATATATATATATATATATATATATATATATATATATATATTCGAAGGCTTTTAGCTATGTTTATAGCTCATGGATAGGTGTTGGTGAATTATGAAAAATTCACGGGTCTTGGTGGTTCTTTTGTTGTCGGCCTTATTAATGTTTAAATATTCTATTAGGGTTAGGTTGTTGTACTATTAGCGTTAGCATGATGATTTGAATTCATAGTAAGTTGCTTCAACAAGTGTTCGTGAGTTCCTTTGAGTTTTAATTGCACAAATCTTGTGACTTTTATTGGCATTGTGTTGGGTATAAAGTTCATTATAATCAATTAATGACTTTTGAATATAAATTACTTTTGTCGACCGGATAGATTGAATTACTTATTTATTAATTATTTCATTTGTATTTATTTTAAAATTTTACTTTAAAAAAATGATCATTGTTTACACATTTATATTTAATTTTTTAATCAATCCATGTAGCACACAAGTTTCACACCTAGTTGCTTGATGATTGTCAATGACTTAATGCTTGTTAATTTGTTAACTACGGATAAGGTTCTAAAAAGCTCGTCATGACTCTAAGGTTTGTACCTGCTGTCAAGTTTTACCAAAACGTGTCTTAACCCATATATGTGTATAAAATAGAATAATAATTGAAAATACAAATAAAAATATTGATTATATACAAAATTACCGTTTTAAGTCACGTTTTATAAATGACTTGGCTTGCTTTGGCTTGCTAAGGCTCGGAAAAGCTTGAGGCTTGACATTTCCGTTAAATCACGTCTTACGTTATTTAGAACTTTGTTTACGGATAACGTAATGTTATAATCGGTTGTAAAAAATATTTTTTATACAAAATTCAAAAAAATAACACAACTTGCCAAAAAAGTTGAAATTCATTACTCTAATAAGTTATTTTTCGAAATTTATTCTATTTTTTCTTCAAATTAATTTTTTTAAACGACGATCAAATATTATTAGCATAAAGAGAAAAAAAAAAGACTTAAGCGAGCAACTCAAGCCTGATTACAAGAGAAACACAACATAAGAGACATACACCACATATACCAATCAAGATTACATGACTTAATCCTATTTTTGATCCAATTAAACATGTTGACACTAAGAGCATTCACAATGTATAGTTCAATGGGAGAGTTGAATGAGGTGACATGCCTAATTGATATTCAATAGATTAAACTCTACCATTGTGGGATGTCATGTTGACATTCAATGAATATGAAGTTTAATGACCATTGAACTATTCAATAGGAAAAATAAAACTTTTTAACTATTAAATATATATTTCATTGAACTTTAATGAGTTCAATGCATTGTAGAAAAATTAATAAAGAGTTGTATAGTAAATAAAATGATGATATATCAATTCATTAAACTCTAATAAATTTAATGCATTATAAATGTGATAATATATCATATTGTCTTTCATTTTTATATACCAAACACATTTCAAGCATTTCAAATAACCCAACATGTGGAGAGAATGAGAGACACTTTCAGTTTTTTTATATTTTTATCACTTGCCTTTCAAATTAATTATTATATATTTGTTAATATATAAATATAAAAATGATTATACACTTTAATTATTTTTCAGAAAATATTTCCTAAGCTTCTACAGGTGCTCCGCACCTAATTGTAATTACATTAATTTCACGTTGTCGAAGAATGGCGCCGCCTTATAACAGCTTTATCACTCTGCAGTCGTCTACCATTCGGCCACCCACACTCCCAATCCCTGGTTACATGTGTGTGATCCCTCGACTGTAACCTCCAATTTCATATCTGCAATCACACCCACGAATCCATTCCGATATTCAACAAAACTGATTAGAAACTATACTTTTTCTTTAATTTCTTCAATCAACCATGGCTGCACTCTTGAATAGATTATCAAAAGCATGCCTCACCAGCACAAAACACAATTTCAAAATCTCCACCTATGCAAGGCATATGAGCAACATCCCGGAAGACACCGTCTACGGAGGCCCAAAACCTCAAAACCCTGACAAAAGAGTCACCCTGACAACTCTACGCGCAAAGCACAGGAAAGGGGAGGGGATAACGATGGTGACGGCTTATGATTACCCGTCGGCAGTCCATTTAGATACCGCCGGAATTGACATCGCACTCGTCGGAGACTCTGCGTCTATGGTGGTTCACGGCTACGACACAACGTTGCCGATCACATTAGAGGAGATGTTAGTGCATTGTCGATCTGTTGCTAGAGGAGCTAAACGGCCATTACTTGTGGGGGATCTTGCTTTCGGCACCTATGAATCCAGCTCCCAACAGGTACCCTTTTCGATTTTCGAATCCTTGGTTTGATCATAACAATCGATTATTGTTTACCTGTATACAAATTGCAATTTTGTTTATGAATAGGCTGTTGATACAGCAGTGAGGGTATTGAAAGAAGGAGGAATGGATGCAATCAAGTTGGAAGGGGGTGCACCATCGAGAATTTCTGCTGCAAAACACATCGTTGAAGCTGGGATTGCTGTTATGGGGCATGTAGGGCTTACCCCTCAAGCCATTAGTGTTCTTGGTGGATTTAGACCTCAAGGGAAGAATGTTCTCAGCGCAGTCAAGGTTTGACTTTTCAGGTCAAACATATAGTTTCCAAATTTCGAAACTGATACGGTTTTCTCTCAAATTCCAACCCATTTTTTCTGCATTTGGTAGATACATCGAGCTATACGTTTTCTCAAGAAATTTCAAAGAATCCATATCAGTTTTGAATCCCAAAAACTCCATCTTTGGCTTCAAAAGTCAAACCTCACCACTTTCTGATGTTCTTGAATACTTACAGGTTGTAGAGACAGCGCTAGCATTACAGGACGCCGGCTGTTTCTCCGTCGTTCTTGAATGTGTTCCTGCTCCGGTGGCTGCTGCCGCCACTGCTGTTCTTAAAATACCCACAATTGGCATAGGGGCAGGCCCTTTTTGCAGTGGACAGGTTCTCGTCTACCACGACCTATTGGGAATGATGCAACATCCACATCATGCTAAGGTTCTATTTCTTTATCGTTTTTAAGGGTATTTTAGACAATTCACTCCATTATATCTTACTAAATGACTGGTCCACTGTTATACGCCATTGTTGCAGGTTACTCCAAAGTTCTGTAAGCAGTTCGCTCTTGTAGGAGAAGTGATTACCAAAGCTCTATCGGAATATAAGCAAGAAGTTGAAAATCGTTCATTTCCAGGGATTATGCACAGTCCTTACAAAATCAATGGAGCAGAGGTTGATGGATTCATGAAGGAATTGCAGAAGATGGGGTTGGATAAGGCGGCAGCTGCGGTGGCAGAAGTGGCTGAGAATTTTGTAGGAGATAAGATTCAATAAGTAAACCTTCAGATCTGTAATTTTGGTATCCCAATTTTGTGGAAGGTGAAACCATGATTCAACATTTTTATATATGTTTATGGTTGTTGTTTGGATTTGTTAGAAAACAACTTATACTATATACACTAAAACATAAAAATTAACCTATAGAAAGTTAAAAATACAGTAATGTCTTTCGTTCTTATTACAATTATGGCACATAAATGGAATCAGGAGACAATGATATCATTTGTAGAAGACTAGAATTAGAAAAAGTTTCTTCAAGTCCAGCTGGAATCCTTCTACTTCCAATATTATCAATACTCTCTTTTGTCACATGCACAAGCTCTCTTGCAACATCATTCATCCCCAACCTCCCATCTCCACCAAACAACAAACACCTCGTTGCAACATCCGCCATGATACTCATCTGCTCTTTTCTATACACCGGTTGTTCATGGTAGTACAACCGTGGATCCACCACCTCCTCCACCTTCCCATTTCTGATCTTCCCAACCGCTAACTCCACCGACTTGCTACCCACCATGATCTCAAGAAGCACAACACCGAGTCCATAAACATCGTTTTTGCTAGAAAAAGGAGTACTCCCGTTTGATCCACAATTGAATAACTCAAACCCTACTAGTTTTACAGAGAGGTCATGGTCTAATAGAACACAACCGGATTGAAGACCATGGTGGAACACAGGAGGGAAGACTTCAGATTGGAGATATGCGAGCACACTCGATAGTTGAGCTGCAATTGTTAATCTAGTATGCCAATCAAGACCTAGGTTTCCATCTACTCCTCCTTGACATAGATGTTGTTCGAGTGTTTTGTTTCCTGGATACTCGTATACCACAAGTGGGGTGTAGCCGGAGTCAATGGAGCATCCGAGGATACGCGCCATGTTCATGTGGGAAACTTCTGAGAAAATCTTGACACGTGATAGAACTTGAATGAGATCCGTTTCGGTTGTGCAATGTACTTTGTGGACTGCTACCTCGAGTCCATCTGTAAGGATGCCTGCGTAGATTGTACCTCGTTCCCCCATGTTGACGAGTTTTTGATCATCTGAGAATCCTTTGGTAGCTTCTTCTAGCTCGCTATGAGTGAACAAACGAGTTCTACGCCCTTTGTGAAATGAAACACTGCTTTGGCTTCGTATTTGATCGAGATCAAGGTTTCCTGACTTTGTTATTGTTTGTCTTTTCAACAAGCAAAAGAGTGCGCCCAATGTGGCGATTGAGAGGCATAATGCAAGAATCCCTGTATGTAAAATAAATCTGTTAGATACGTGGAGTCTAAGATTTTAGGTTTAAAAGAGTTTAAAGAAAGATGTGAGGCTCCCAATATCAATAAAGATGTATATCGGTTTAAAAGAGTTTAAAGAAAGATGTGAGGCTCCCAGTATCAATAAAGATGTATATCGCTAATGTGGACCCTATCACTGATTTTGATACCATGTAAAATATATTGATTTTTTTTTCCTAAAAGAAACGTTTGAGAAAAAGGAAAGACTACACAATAAGACTGTCTAATCCATGTGAGACTTCAAACAAAACCCTAGCGTGAATGTATGATCAATTTGTAAATTTCATTGACTTATAGTAGGTTTGATGTATATACCAGCCACAAGCATGAGTTTACTCCGATCATGTCGCTTTGCGTAACAAGCCTTGCCATATGCTTCCTGGCCATCCTTAAGGCAAGCTATATATATATATTGAAGACGAAAAGATTAGGATAAGTTAATAGCAAATAATCTATCATTTTGTTTCTTTTTTTGATGTAATAGACTTAATATAAACAACACTTAATTGGTAAAGCTATGTATGCAAAAGAATACAAATTAGCAATTTAATAGTGAAAGTGAGAGAAATGAAGTTTTCCTATATGAATGTTTTCTTTTTTATTTAATGCACACATAACGATTGATAGAGAAAGTAAATGATTCAAATTTACATTTTTTCACTTCCTGGTTCAAACGTTGACCAAGACTTCCCCACTTTACGAGGATATGGAGGAGGGGGCTCAATATAGGCGATGTTCTAGGCCAAAAACTCAGTATAGTAATAGAAAAAGAACTTGAAGAAACAACACCAAATTAAACTCACCTTTCAAGCAACCCATTCCCTTAGCATATCCATCACCTACAAATCCATCAAAGCATTTGCACCTCATACCCAAATTAACAGAGCTCACATTCACAATTCGAGCATTAACATCACAAACTCCATGTATCAAATTGCTTGGAATCGCCCATTCTAACTTAATGCCATGTTTTACAACATCATTTTTTGAACTCGAACCAATCCAACAAGCAAACCCCTTGCATCCCAACTCCAAAAACACAGAGAAACCATCACCCACACGCCAAACACCACCACGTTCATCAGAAAGAAGGTAACAACATCCACTACTAGCGAAGGTAGTGGTCGTGTTTTCATCATGGCATCCACCACAATCACTCCTACACAACGAAGAATCCCCACACCCATACAAACCAACCACGTTATCACTCGATATACCAAAGTAATCATTCGTCTGAAACCCAAACGATCTAAGATCATAATACCTTCGACACAAAGAAGAATAACTAAAGGTATCGTTAGGAAAATCCACTAGTATGCCACCACCATCAGGAAAGAAATGAAGAACCTGATATCTGTATGATCCAATGGTGAGGAACAAGGAGGTTGAATTAGAGCAGGAAAGATGGAAGGCATCTGAAAGTAAATTCTCCCCACAATCAGAAGTGTTGTGTAGATGAAACGGGTAGGGTATGGAGTCAAAACTGCCACATTTTTCAGGTGGGCAGCCATGGCTGCTGACTGAAAATGGCAGGAGCAGCAGTAACAAGACGATGATCATAATGTTAAAGAAGAAGAGAACATATTCTAGCAAAATATTAATATAACAATATGGAAATAGGTAGTATATATACATAGAGTAGCAAGTGAAAAATAAAGCTGTGATTTACATGTATACAGGAGATCTTGTGCATGGATATCGAAGGACGTGTGGTGCATATTGGGAGGAGGAAGGGTTCTTGGAAACAAGGGAAACGGCGACAGTTGGTCTTTAGAATGGGCGACCACCTTGCATCGGTGATGGGGTTTTAGCGTCATGTGAGAGTGGACGACACATTTACTCATAAACCCACGTATATAATTATCGGATTTGAAGCTTTAAACTTCGAGATTTGGGTTTCTTTCAGAATTTCGGAATGTTAGGATTTTTCTAACTTATCACGAGTACGGAGGGTGTGAAGTGTGAACAAATAGACCATCGCATTTTTTTTCATATATAGAACTATTTTTATTTTTAATAATGTTTGATTAAAACATATACAAATAAATGTGTGTAGGTTATTTGATTCAAAATTATACCAAAAACATATGTTATTTAATATGGCACTCATTTGTGGTGTTGTGTAAGAAAAGATGGAAAGATTTTAAAAAATGCTTATAATGATGTTTATTGTTACTTTTGTCACGTGAATTATCATTTTTGGCATAATTTGGTCATCAAATTCTAATGTGGATCCATAAAGTATGAAGTGTTAAGATCTATGTTATTTACACTATTGCTCCATATATAAAATGGTTATAAAACTTCTTTCATGACATGAAATTGATTTTAATTTTTGTGATTAATTATTTTCTCCACATGTATTAGACCCTTTGCTATACATACAAGCGTGTAAGAAATTTGGGATTAAAAGCACTTGGAAATTTTAAGAATTGTGTTGTATACTTTCAAATCGAAGTATTTAGGTGGTAATCTCAAATTCTCAATTAGATAATACATAGAACTTTGAGAGCAAGAAATAAAAATGAGAAGATATGTCTTTCGTCGTCCGCACCAGAAAATTGACCAAAACTTGCTTAAATATGTCTCATGTCAAAAAACTGTCACAAGATAGTTTCGTAACTAACACAGAACCCGAGTATTAACTACTAGATAATAATATAATCGATGAGTGTCCTAAAACTGTCACCAACTGTCAAACCTGACATAAAACGGTCGTTTTAACCATTGGATAACAAAGTAACTGTAACATACATGTTCAATTATCGTGTTTTGTTAGTTTAAAAAATGAATAATATTAAATATTATATGGTTTTGAGCATTGAGTTCTAACAAGATAGTTTTATGATATTCGAAGTAAAACTATGTTTAGAATAATTCGGAAAGTATTGGAAGTGATGAGAAGTCTTATGAGATTCCGATCAAAAAGTCAAATATTGAAATTAACAAAAATATAAAATTTAAGTTGGAAATAAGTAAAACTAATGCTATTGAAAGTTGTAAATTATCTTGTTAGAAACATTTAGGCGAAAACCTCACTGAAATCCGTTTTGTAAAGAACAAGTTATGACTTATTGAAGTTTCGCGACAGAACCGACACGGTGTCATATGACGTAAAAAGTGAGTTTACGATAAACTATTTTTTAACCTTCGTGATATAAACAAAAGTCGTAGTATTCGTTAAACCAAGAACTTTCATAAAAAGAACGTACTAACTTCGTATGAGGAAGTTATGATTTTTCTAAGAATTGGTATAGTAGTATTCAGGTCGAAATTCGAATTATAGATCAAAAATTTTTTAGCTGATACAACCTAAATGAGAATCGAAGATTTTGTCAATTGTAGTTCAACGGTAAAAAGATAGACGAAAACGGACGTCGGATGAAGAAGTTATGAATTATTTAACGAACTTTTCCTGTCCCGGCCTGTTAAAATATAACTTTAAAAAATAAAGTTAAAATTAGTCGACGGAGTCAAAATGAAAGCATAATTTCACCTACGTATGGATATAAAGAACGTAAAAAACGGAGCATAATTCCTCTATGGACTCGACGAGTTCCTCAGTCTGTTTGGGCCATCTTAATGGATTAAGCCCATACTCTTCAGATCTAAACGTCATATTTTTCATATACACTGAAAATGTCCTTTTAAGGGTAAAGTCTCCAACTTTACCCGTTAGTACCTTTACTTAATGGGTTTAGCTTAAACCCTAACTCTTTAGGACCTAGATCTTGGTCCACAAGCCATCCACACTCCAAACTAAAGCATAGAAACAAAGATCTAGACTATAAACACTACATGAAGACATAAAGCTTCCCCCATTCACTCCATGCATGGCCTTTAGGAGCTTAAAAGGCCAAAATGACATCATATGGCTTGCATGGGGCTTCAATGGTCATAAAGTTTGCACTTTTAAGCCATGAAATCCCTCCATGATTCCAGATCTGATGGTTCACTCACTTGGGACGTCCAGATCCCAAAGGTTAAGCTTCTTGGACCAAAACCCCAATAAGATGATGATAAAGAGACCTAAGAAGCTACTAAGCAACTTTAAGACTTGCTTACCAGAAAATGATAAGGAAGAAATGAAGTCTCTGGATCTATAATCTTCTTCTTGAATCCCCAAGCTTCTCCTTCCTTCATAAGCTTCAAAACACATAGTTTCACTCATATATGGCTCACAAGCTCACAATTACATTAGGGTTTCTGAATCTAGGGTTTAGTTTTTGGAGGCTGGAAATGAGGTCAACAAGTAGGGATTCACATGCTTAAATATGGTGCAAAACCCCGAAATTAGGGTTTCATCCTGACAGCCCTACTCATCGAGTAGGTTACTTAAAATCTCACATCTCTTTTGATCTCTACTCAACGAGTTCGAGGCTTCCAACTCGTCGCGTTGCTCTACAAAAATGAATAAATTATAATTTAAATGCAAACTAGGAACGAAGAATTACAGAAGAGTCATCGACATAGAAAGAGGATGAGATGGTGGGTCGGGTTACCGACGATGATTGGAGGTGGCTAACGATGGTGGTGTATAAGTAGATAAGTATAGAGAAAGAAACTAGAGGCATAAGTTTGTGTTTTGTGTTGGTGAGATAATGAGAACCATATTTGATATTTATTAGTTACAAATATCTTATATGGATATTGAATAGAATACCTTTATTACTTTCTTCCATTTATAAAAACTTTAAAAAAATTAAAATACTAGAAAAGACAAAAATAACCTTAATGATAAGTTAAAAGTAAATGGTTCTTAGAGTTCTTAACATTTATTGCTTCTCATTTGATCTTTTTACACACACACAAATATATATATATATATATATATATATATATATATATATATATATATATGTCATTATAATGCTTATTTTGAGAAGTTTTCATCATAGTTTCTTTTGTTTGGCTACTTATATCACCATGTAGATCAATACATTTCATTTGCTAACCATAAAAATAAAGGAGTTAAGGAGGTGGGTTTTTAGATGGTGAAGGTGGCCAGAGATAAAATGTAGGGAGTTTTGGAGATGGTAAAGATAGCAAATAGAAAAAAATGATTTGTTTGGCTACTTATATCACCGTCAAGTACTCTTACATCTCTTATGTTCACATCACCACTAGGGGTATAACCTACCCTATAAGAGGTTGTCACCGTTCCCTTTATCTTTAACCCTAAAAACCAATGTCACTGCTTTTGTGTACCTGCAATGATGAGGATGATTTAACACAAGTATCTTTATGTTCTATGTATTTGATGGAGTGAAGAAGGATTGAACCCCAATGTTCTATATTCATGTTCAAGATTCGCCACATCTCCATGTTCTAGTTCTTTGACAATTGATTAGACGAGATCGACATGTTGTTCCCTTCATCTTTGGTGGTGTAGAGTTAGATTTTCTATGTACAATAAGGAATAACAACAATTTGAAGCCACAATCTGAAATGAACCAAATAGTTCCTCTTTGTATTGTATTTTGATTTTATTTTGTTTCCTCAAAAATAATTTTTTTTGAAACAATAATTGTTTATGGTATTCATCCATTTTGATTTGATGTTTTTTTCCTATGCAATTCCTATTTGTATTTGGTATTTATTTTTATTTTGAATCAATATATGTTTCTTGATTTTCTATTGTGTGGGTTTCTTATTAATTAATTATCGTTGGTGTTTACCGAAGTAGGCTAAGATAGTGAAGGAGATGCAAGATCGGGGAGGATGGCGGAGGGTATGGACATATTATATTTTATTGACAATAAAAATATTAGAAAATAATTAAAAAAAAACAAATATATATATATATATATATATATATATATATATATATATATATATATATACTAATAAGGATAAAATTTTCATTTTAGTAAAGGTTAACAACACAAGTTAAACGATATTAATATTAGACTATTAAGTATGAGCAACATGCTATAACATCAAAAATATATCATATCACATACCGCACCACCCATGACATTAAAGCACCATGTGGGGAATAAGTCATCATGTTATAACACCAAATAATTTTCATGTCATCATTTATTTATTTATTGAGTTTAATTTTTTTAATATTTATAAAAACAAATACATATTTATTAAACATAACATTTAAATAAAACATCATATTTAAATTAAACATAACATTTAAATTAAAAAAAAAAAAAAGACGTTACAAGACAAATTTCCCCCCTAAATACACTATTCTTCATCATCGTTACCATCGTAGATATAATCTGCCAAGTCCTTTCGAAGTTTCCCGTGTTTTGTGCGTCTTGAATATCAACGACTCTATATAAATATTCCGATGTACTTTGTTGAAATTACACGTGTCAGGGTTCTGTAGGCATATACTCTACATAATTTCATCTTTTATCTTCAATCATAATGTTATGCATTATATAATATCTTGTAGAGTTTCTATCTTATATGGATGTGTCGTATATTCAACTATGTGCCACGTCTACTTTATAACTCTAAAAGCACGTTTAACATCCTTACATGTTTCTTCTTGTCTCCTATTGAATAATTTTTCTCTTTGTTCCACTGGGTGACCAAAC